ACGGTTTCTTGCAAAAGTCTGCTCTGCTCCATCTGAAACAAAGAAGATTTGAGTTGAAAAATGCTAGCCAATGGAAAATATGCATAATGCATGAATTTTCCAGTTTTCAAGTTTTTTCACTATATGACAGCAATGTTTAGAGCGAATTTTACAACGAAAAACACGTGCAGGCGAATCCTTTACTTGGCATGCGTTCTTGTGCCCTGTTCATGATGCAGAACATAGTTTGCGATGTATAGAAGGCAGAATCAACATCGATACTTCCAAATATTCCTAAACTTTTAAGGAACAGCAATAAAAAATTATATCTTGTCAAATTTTTAAAATACTTAAAATAATTTTTACAGCTACATTTTTCATAAATTAATAATGAGATTCTGTAATTAGGATTTGTAGCCATAGACCATAGATAACTTATATCCTTACACTGTAGTATAAGGTCTATGTTTGTAGCAATACAATGCTTAAAGATTCAGTAGTTTCTACTCCAAACAGGGCATCTATTTTTTGTCACTTCACTTGACAGTTTTTTTTTATCATAATCTCACTTCTTTTCTAAAACTTGTGCAAAAAGATTATACTAAACAGCAGAATATCAACCAATGGTCAACATAATATTAAAAGTGTTCTTAAAAATACCTTGGACAATAAATTCTATGCATAATTCTATTATTGAATGAATATCTTTTATCAAAATAAATTAAGAGAATCTCACTTCTTTTTTAAAATTTGTGCAAAAAGGATATATTAACCTGCACCTACAACGAATGGTCAACATAATATTAGAAATTTTCTTAAATTACCTAGTGCAAGATATTTTAAATTATGCATAATACTATTACTGAATGAATATTTTTTGTTAAATAAATTAAGAGAAACTCACTTCTTTTCTAAAATTTCTGCAAAAAGGTTATACTAAAATGCAGAATATCAACCTATAGTCAACATAATAATGGATTTTTTTTGGAAATACCTAGGACAATATATTTTATGCATAATTAATTACTGAATAAATATTTTTTGTTAAAAGAAATTAAGAGAAACTCACTTCTTTTCTAAAATTTGTGCAAAAAGGTTATACTAACCTGCAGAATGTCAACCAATGGTCAACACAATAATGGAAATTTTCTTAGAAATACCTAGGACAATATATTTTACACATAATTCTATTACTTAATAAATATTTTTTGTTACAAGAAATTAAGAGAATCTCACTTCTTCTTAAAAATTCGTGCAAAAAGGTTAAACTAACCTTTAGAATATCCACCAATGGTCAACATAATAATGGAAATTCTCTTAAAAATAACTAAGATAAGATATTTTAAATTATGCATAATACTATTACTGAATGAATATTTTTTGTTAAAAGAAATGAAGAAAATCCCTCATTTTAATAAGATTTGATGCGCAAAAGCGGTGGTGCATTTAAAGTACTTAGGAGTGCATTGTTTAAAATATAATTTGATGAATTAAATGAATATATTAATTCGAAATTAAAATATAAAAGTTTAGTTTAAATATTTACAAGTAGGGGAGACTGGGTACGGTTGTGCCAGAGTACGGTAGTAGCAGTTGTCCGAAGGATCCGAAGGAAAAAAGATGAATGGTTGTCGCAACAAAAAAAAAAACAATTAACCTAATTTCGACATTGCATAAGACTACATTTAAATGGCTTTTTATGGCTTGATTTTAATTATGGACCAGCTGCCAAAATCATGGCATTATTAATTTTTTAGTTATTTTATAACAGATTTCAGATGAACATCAAAATCAATAATAAGTATTAGACTCTGTAATTAAAGTGCAACTTTTCAGTAGATTCTTTTTTATCTCATTACATCTGCCAACCTATTGAGAATCTGCTCCAAGAATCTTCTGCAGAAACGAGGAGGCAGTAGAAAACAAACCGTTTACGGTTCATGCATCGGTTAACACATGGAATGTTTTATGACTACATTTCGGTTCTTTATGCTTTCACACTAACCGATTTTCAAAATAAACAACTTCTTGCAAAATATTCGAATGCGAAGATAGTCCTTTTATTATATGGAAATTGTCTTTAGCTGAACTCGTGTCGAAAATTTTAATATATATTGAAAGACAAATAAAATAATTTTCTTGAACAATATGGAAAAGAAACAGAATATACAGTATTGGCAAAATAAAGCAAATCATGTTTCTTGGATGCTTGATGGAACTTCCAGCTTTTGTTAATAAATTCATGAGAATTGGTTGGTCATATCTAGTCCTGATTCTGAAGGAATATACATATACTTATTTATCAGGACCAACTTGATAAAATTGATTTGAAGTGAAAATTAAGTGAGTTAAATACCCAAACGTGACGTATGAATTTTGCAATGTTTGTAATGAAAATCCCTAATTAGATCTTACATACTCTACTCTTTCTAAGGGATGGGTCTAGTATTAGCATTTTTATGTAAAAAAATATAATTTTTAATTAGTATAAGGTCGAAGATCAATCAGATGATACCAGTCTAGTTGATACAAATAATGGCTTTATATTTATTTATTACTATCATCAAAGTACATAATAATTTTACCTCGAAGATCAACCTGATGATATCAGATTTGCTGACATCATATATATAAATTTACACACACACATATGTATATCGTATATGAATTTAATAGATATAATAACTTGATTTTATATACAACAATTGCATAAATAAACAAATTGTAATATAGTGAGACGACAAAATTTGCGGATTGGACATGGCTTCAACTATGGTTTGTCGGTTTTCAAAAACCGGTTTTAAAAACCGTTTTTTGGCGAAAATTATGGAATTCAAAAATCGGTATTTTTAGCGGAAAAAGTCGGTTTTCACTGTATAAATGGAAAATGACAAATATAGCCAAATTTACAAGATAGTTTCAAGCGTTTTGATTCTTGGAATCATATTGGCTCAATAGCATTTGGAATCTTATCAGTCTGCTATGGTTTCCATAAAGGTTTTGTGTTATCTAATGTATATATTAATTTAGATTTTTATACCAGTATGTATATTATTTTAAATCAGCGTGACTTCTTGAAAAAGTAACTTCCTCTACTCAAACTTAAAGAGTTTTAAGCCCTAAAAGCCACAAATAAAATAACAAAAAACTTAGAATTAATATATCATCAGGCTTTAAAAACAAATTAAGCCTAGCTTGATTGCAAGTGATAGAGTATTTTCTATTTTTTTAAATTTTGTGAGTAAACAAAAGACACGTCTAAGTAACAAATCGATATCAAACATATTTTCTTAAACAAAAAAATAATTAGAATTTTTAAAATTAATTAATAAAAATTGCCCGGAATAGAAATTACTCGGGGTTTAGCTTAATTGTTTTTAAAACTAAAATTGATATTAACAAGTATATATCAACATATATTTTTCATTTTGTTTTTATTTTAATCAACATATATCTTTTATTTTGTTTTTAAATTAATAAATGTTTTTTATTTAAAAATGTATTATTTTTAATCATTCGAAAACTTTCTTTCGACTATCATAAAATGTATATCATAAAATATAAACATGCAATAACGAATGATTATTTTCAATGATATTTAATCCAGATAAACTATTATTTTTGAAATTATTTAAAATTGAAATAATTTTGTTTACTATCCATAAAATTGAACAATAAATAAAAACAGTCAAATTCTGCTTTAAATCGCACTAAATTTGCTGATAAATTTTTGTTATTACAATAATTCGAGCAAAAATTGATTTTCTACATAAAATTCGAAAACCGGTTTTCTGGTAAAATTATAATTCGAAAACCAATTTTCTGAAATGTCGGTTTTTGTATAAATCCTAGCTTCAAGTTAATTTAACTATGTATAATGCAAAGATTGGATTAAAAAAAATTAATAACAATGGTTAAAATTTTAAATTTTTTATAATTTCAATATATATCATGAATGCTGAATATGTATCTAAATTGAAAAAACAGATTCAGACATCTAATTTTTGTAATTGCTGAATGGTTTAAAAATATACGTCAATTGTCCGAGTCACTTAGTAGTATATTATATAGTTGTATATAGTATTAACTAAAAATTATTGTATATATGTTAGGAATTTTACATTTTATATGAAATATTTGAAAATAAAACCTAAACACCGCAAAATATTATTAGTATTAATCTGATAATAAAAGTGATCACTATACCATCTTCAATATTTTCTTCCAAAATCCTCGGTGTCTCATTCATCAAATAGAGTCGTTATCTTTTCTCTCCAATGGATTTCATCGGCAATAATTTTATCGGGCATAATTTTTTAGGTACACTTTCTTTTAAGAAAATGCTCGTAATCCCGGAATAAATTATTTTTAATTAATGGCAGTTGTTATAATATTTAGGCGCGAAATAAAACGCTCGGGCAGCTCTCGATTCCAATTAAACTTATTAAACAGGGATTAGTGTCTATACTTTACGAGGGGATTATTAAGGAATCTCACAAAGGCGGAATGATTCCAAGAATTAGGTCCGAGGAAAAAGATGTTTCAAAATGTTTTCTGAATTTAAAATATTCTCATCTTTTTACTTTATAATTTTTACTTATTACGAATTCCTTGAAGTTGTTTCAAAGGAATTATTCTGTAAATAATTATGATGGAATTTATATGAATTTTAACAAGTGAGTTGTACATATTTTTTTGAGAAATTTTGAAAATATTATTCAGAAAAAACATTAACAGCTTTGTAAAAATTTACCGCTTTGTTTAGTGATGTTTATTTTTATCATTTTTTTATTTAAAACTTAACAACTATATGCTAGTCATCAAAGCACTGAAATTTCATTCTAAAATTCTTTTCATACTCACGTTTGCTATATTTTATAGATTTTTTTAAATATAATATTTTTTTTAGTTTGGATGCAAACGAATAATATTTATTTATAAAAAATATTATTTTATATGGTGACCACAACAAGAACATTTTTATTATCACAATTTTTATTATTATATTATAATTTTCATACCTATCATGAAAGGGCAGCTGGTATAAATATTAGGTTGGTCCTTAATATGAATATTCTCAAATTTTCCTGCTCCCAAGGATTTTATTTGTATTTCAGATTTTTTTATCAATTTGGAAATATTTGAGCCCCTGTAATGTTTGAATGTACTATGTATAGTTTGCTATGAACAATAAACCAAAAAAAATCAGAAATTAAAACTATTTATGTAATTTATAATTTTTACATCATATTTATATTTTGTAATTATGAAAAGAATCAAATATCAATCGAAGATTGAGCTTTTAGTTTTCAGTTAACTTTAAATATAATACTCTAACACTTACTACTTAAGTTCAGTAAATTGAAATAAAAAAAACAATACTATAATTTTCTACCCAAGCTAAGAACTATTTTAAAACTCATCTTTTATAATAAAGTACACATAAATTCAAATTATAAAAATAAATATGATGAATGTGATATTTCTAAGAAAAATAATTTGAAGACAAATGCAGCTGAGAAAATGTGTCCCGTAAGACTACAATAATTATAACGTATGATGATAAAATGTCTAGAAACCTTTTATCTTTATATAAATTTAACAAATAAAACCTTTATAATAAAATAAATATTTTATATGCTATTGCTTAATTTTTGTCATTCAAAATTTAAAATAAAAATTAAATAAAATATTTTTAAATTGGCATAAATTAAAACCTGTATGAAAATTATTTTGGATAATGGTTTCTTTATCATTGTTAACTTAATAAATAATTTTGAGAGCTTGTGTTAGTTATCATAACATTTAATTATTTTTTTGATTTACTAATGTTGAAATAATAATGCTCAGATTTGATGAGTTAAAAAAATTGATTCAATGAAGTCTAATTCGAAACTTGTATTTAAATAAAACTTGATTTCTAACGGTTTCTTTAGTCACATTTTCCAATTTTAAAATATTTTAATGCTCTGTTTAAACATCAAATTAAGACAGATAAAGTCTTGTTATATCATTGATGACCTCTGCTCATAGAACCGTGAATAGGTGCAATAATTAGTTCCTGTGCCTTATCATCATTATAAGTTAAAAGTCGACTCTGAACAAAAATGGGCAAAAATTATGAAAATTTGATTTCTTTAAAATTATTTGCATTAAAGAAAATAAGCAAAATGACCCAAACTAGTGAGGTGGGTGGCATCGTGCCTTAAGGCAAATTTCTGGAACTTCCCGTACTGTAACGAAATGTTCGAGGAATACTGAATGTTTTCAAATAGATTATTATAAATATTGTCAAATTGTCTAATAATCATAAGAATTATATAAACTGAATTGCAAAGTTGAAATTATTTGTAAAGTGTATTAGAACTATAGTCAGAATTAAAAATAAAATCTGAATTATTTTCGTTATACAAAATATTAAAAAAAAAATTGAAACAAATTTTTTTTTTCCAAAATTAATTATTTTCTTAAGACAAGCAGAAAGTTTTTTGAATCAATTAAATCGGACGCTTAGTTCTCTAAAAAACTGCCATTTTTTACATATTTAGCTCTGTATCTTCGAAATGGCTGAGTCTGCCTTTGCCAAAAACTAATAAACACTTCTCCCAATCATTACTAATTGAATGTTTTTTAAATCATTCAAATCGGATACTCCGTTCTCTCAAAAAGTCGATTTCTATTTTCTGCACTCTTTGCTCCGTATCTCCGAAACGGCTGGATCTGCCTTAGCCAAAAACTAATCAGCTCTCCTACCTATCTATAGGAATCGAATGTTTTTTGAACCATTCAAATCGGTTGATCCGTGCGCCCGAAAACGTGACTGGAATTCTGTCGAACTTCCCGTACCGTAGAAAAATGTTCGAGAAATATTAAATGTTTTCAAATAGATTATTATAAGTAAATACTGTAACATTGTCTAATATTTAGAAGAATTATATAAACTGAATTAAATTAAAATCTGAATTATTTTCCATATATGAGAAAAATTTTTTTTGAAAAAAAAAATTGAAAAAAAAATTAAAACAATTTTTTTTTTCAAAAACAATTATTTTGTTAAAACAAGCAGCAAGTTTTGAATCGGTTGATACGTACGCCCGAGAACGTGGACAAAAAATTGTATCCATACATACATACACACACACAAACAACCATTTTTTCTGAGATATGCCAAAATGTTCAGAAACCCTCAAAACGTCGAAAAATGTAAAAATTCTCAATTTCGATTTTTCGAAGATTACAATAACTTACCCTAAGAGAAGTTAAAAATGTTCTTTTTTTCTTATAATAAAAAACTAAAAAATTACCTCACTTTGGTTGATAAAATAAAACTTACCAGAAAAACTTCTAAACGGAACCAAAGAAGAAGAGCAAACAGAAAGCGTACTATAATATACTATAATGACGTACTGGAATCGAATTGAACAATGACAACTGGAAATATACTATACCCAAACTGGATAGAACCCGAACTAGAAACGAACGCACTAGAACCGAACGCACTAGAACCGAAAGCACTAGAACCGAACGCATTAGAACCGAACGCATTAGAACCGAACGCACTAGAACCGAACTGCAAGCGAAGTAGCTAAAACTGGGCACGAACAGGAACAGACTGACCTCATGTCGGAAGCCTAAGGAAGGTTAAGTTTTTTGGAGGAGAGACAGGTAATTCGGTGGGCACATTGCACCCCCGAGATGGCGACTATAATATTATCGACGCATGTAAATAGTCATTGTGGCGTCACCAATATATAAGTATATATATATATATATATATATATATATATAAACAGAAACACATTTTATTTTTTATTTGACATACTGGATATACTTTATATTTTATTAACTTCCCGCAAGAGAAGTTTGTTTTCATAAAAAAATACGATTCGCTAATTTTATGTTTTCTCGACGTTTCAAGCCATTCTGAACCAAATGAGACCAAATATGGAAAAAGTATGTGTGTGTGTGCGTGTGTGTGAACTGATTTTTTGCCGTAAATCAACGTTTTCTTAAAAACGGCTGGACCGATCAAAAATTTAAAAGCCATTCGATGTATCTCGATGAGGACTAGGGTTTTTGGTTTTGTACGACAGTCGGCCGGGCCGTTTCTTTGTAATAGCTCGCAATTCTGAATCGATTTTGAAAATTCAAAAACCGTTCGATAGATATTGGTTGGGATTCGTGCTGATTAGTTTTTGGTAAAGATCGGTCGGGCCGTTTTCTTGTAATAAAGTTTTTAAAAAAAGTAATTTGACGATTTTTATAATTTTTTTTTGACGGTATATATTATAATCTTCTAGATCTTACTAAAATATTACCGCCCTACGATAACTTGTTTAGCTTTAAAAATTCGTCAAAGTTTGCAAAAATTGATATCGTTTTTTTTGGCATTTGTCAAATTGGAACTTTCATCGACTTTTGAAATAAGTGAAAAAATTTAAAAGCCATTCGATATATCTCAATGAGCACTATTGTTTGTCAGTTTTGTGAGACGAACTGCCGAGCCGTTTCCTTGTAATTTGAAAAAGAGTGTTAAACTTTTCGTCCACATTTAAGCCCATTCTACCGAATTGATTTTAAAAAATCAAAAACTGTTCGAAAGATATTAGTTGGGAATAATACTGATTAGTTTTAGGTGAAAATCTACCGAGCCGTTTTCTTGTAATTAACTGTTGAAAAAAAAATTAAGCCGATTTTTATGAAACTTTTTTTGGCGATGTATATCATGGTGTTATAGAACTTACTGAAATATTACAGCCTTACGACCAGTAGTTTAATTTTAAAAATTCATCAAAGTATGAGAAAATGAGTAGTTTTTTGACGTTTGTTAAAATTAAAATTGGACAATTTACTTGGTATAAGGATAGATTACTTGGTCTTAATGAGCATATCAAACCATTAACATTCTACGAAAACTGGTTGAATTATAAAAATTATTGATTTGTGAAAATTTGCTTTTAGAAAATACTCCGTGTTAACGTGTTCGTTTGTTTTCAATTATGTGTAATAAATCCACTCGGAATACTTCTAATCACTCATAAATTAATTTGTTTATTATTGATTAAGTAGATTATTCACACATATCGGGAAGTTCATGTAACTTGCCTCAAGGTTAAATACCAATACCAACTAGTTTATTTCTTCATCTTATAATAAGAAGTCTAACATGTAAAATCAGAAAAACGTTTTTATTTATAAGCTTACCAAACAAGGAATATATGATTTTTTCACTAATTAAAAGATAAATTAGATTTTCACTTATTTCGGAAGTTCAATTACATGACATTTTTGATCAATAATACCAAATTAATTATTCACATTCTTAGTTTGTTCTAAACTCTTTGCTTTTGTTTTTCTGATGAGTAAATCATGATATCGAAACCAGTGTAAGTGTCAGCAAGTTTTTTTCCATGCAAAGAAAACATTAATTGAAGCTTATACCTTCCTGTTGGCAAGACGTAAGAGGGTAGTTTTGCTTCGTCAACGTGTAACTCTCCATAATAATTACCCTAAAATAAAAAAAAACTTTGAATTTATCATAAATTTAATTTATCTCATAAATCTAATTTTCTCAGTCACTATAAATAATTGAACTAAATTAGTTAAAAAACATTCATTTAATTTTCATTTAGCTAAGATAAAATTGGGCATATTCACCATTTGGTCAATCATGAAATTTCTTTCTAGATTTTTTATAATATTATTTATATTGATTGTTTCTAATTACCTTAGCTACTGGACAGCTCATTGGAAGTTTATGTCCTTTGATAAATAATAAGTCTATAATCTGTTCCTTTAGTTTTGTGAAAAAGTTGTCTGCAAAGCCACTCTGCTTACTTCCAGCATTGGGGTTTATCATGGTGCAATAATCTATGGTCATTTGAGGGAAATATTCTTTATATCGGTTGCTTACATGTTGATAAAACTGTAATGTTAGCTGCAAATAATAATGATTTGAATTAAAAGTTTATTTCCAACTGTAGTAGATCAGCATTTATATGGTGCAAGATTTTAGAAAATTGCTAAATTTTTATTGTTCATTTATTAACTTATTTAATGATAAGAAGTTATAGAATTGCTATCTAAAAAAATAGTTTTTAAATGAAAGTTCTTCAAACACCAGAAATAATACTTTCGATCTTGCTCTGAAAAAATGGTTCCAACGTTTCTGACATAGAAAAATATAAGTTTAACGGGTGATAAACAAATTTAATAGAGTAACTAAGCAATACTGTGAAACTATAAAACTGGTAATTTTTTTACATTAGCATTCTCCATGACAGTAATCAACGTAAAATTCAAAAGTACAGCTGAGTACGTTCGATTTGTTTTCTTTATTTTGTACACGTAATCATCCAAAATATATCCTTTTGCAAGATAAGCAAGTTCTGCAGATCTCAAGGTAATTCTGTAGTTCCTCTGAAATAAAATTATTTAAATTGAAAATGTATAAAAATTTATTGCGCTTAACAAAAACCATAATTCTGCAATTATTACTCACCCAACATTGCACCTCCTTGTGATGAAAAATAAAAAATAAAACTAACATTTTAAAATACATTTTGATGATATATCAGTAAAGGCTGCCAAAAATGTAATAAAAAAATAATTTTTTGCTTGGAAGCGATATAAAAATTTGTTACAATCATACAGGAGAAGAGGGCTATAATGTATTATATTTTTAATGAATAAATATATTCTAAATTGAACTTATAAGCAAACCTATATTCATGAAAATAGAACCAGATTTTTAATTTATTAAATTGAAAACTTTATTATAATTTTTTAATTTATTATAATTAGTAATTACATACAAATAAAAAACTATAATATATATATATATATATATAAAATATTGTATAATATAATAATATACTATGAAAAAGTATGTTAGTGCAATGTTAACAATAAAAGATTGCATTTTAAATACAAAATCGTGTAATTTTACTATTCTTGTAGGAACAGTAATTATTCTTTTTATTTAACACATAGAATGGTTAAATCAAGTATTAATACAACATATTATAATAAAATATATAAATTAAAATAAATTAACAACGTTGTTATAATTTTGCAATAATGTTATATTTTATAATCGTTTGTTTGCTTTGTTATGAACTCATATACTAATAAAAACAAAACAAACATTCGCAAAAAAAGTTAAAATCAAACGATAATTAAAAGTATGAGACATAAAAATCCATTTAAAAAATCTAACAACTACTTGATTTTTGTATGTAATCATCATGGAAATAAATATTTATACTTTCTATTTTTTTCAAAGTCTTTGCTTTCGTTTTTCTGAAGAGTAAGTCCTAAGATCAAAGCCGGTGTAAGAGTCAACAAGTTTCTTTCCATGCAAAGAAAATATTATCTGGAGCTTGTACCTTCCATTTGGCAAAAGGTATGAAGGTAGTTTTGTTTCATCAATATGTAACTCTGCATAATAATTATCCTATAATATGAATTAACATAACAGTAAAAAAAATTGTATTTTTATACATCATGAACAAACTAATTGTCTATCACCAATGAATAAAAATCAAATACATAGTTACCTTAAGTATGGGACAGCTCTTTGGTAGTTTATGTCCATCCGCAAATAATAGATTTATGATATGTTCCTTTAATTTTGTGAAAAAAGTATCTGCGAAACCCACCTGCTTACTTACAGCCTTTGGGTTTATCATGGTACAATAATCTATTGTCATACAAGGAAGAAATTCTTTAAATTGGTTACTTGCCTGTTGGTAAAACTGCACTGTTATCTGTAAAAATAGAAAATCATTAATTAATTTTTCAAATTAGAATTTTATTTCTAATCTTATTCTTGAATTTCTAAATTCATTATTCAAATATCTTTAAATTGGTTTATTTGAAAAATATAGTATTTATAATTCTTCAATATGAGTTATTCTTCCAATACCAAATTTTATATGGTGCAAAATTTTAGATTCCAGATGCCCTTCCAATTTTTATTCAAACATAAGTAGTGAAATTTGAATCAGCATTTAAAATATTGTATTTGAGATAAAAAATGTTCAATTCTTTTAAAAAATAAATCATTTTTTGGGTTTTCAGAACCAACTATTGATTTAATTTAAATATTTCATTTCAAGTTACTAGCAGATTTAGAATTTTATGTAGAATAATATAAAAATAATAACTGGAGTCAGAAGAAAAGTAAAGATAATATATTATTTACATTAAAATTTTCCACGACTCTAATTGTTGTAAGATTTAAAAGTACAGCCGAGTAAGTTCGATTTCTTTTCTTTATTTCGTACACATAGTCATCTGAAACATATCCCTTCTCAAGATAAACAAGTTCTGCAGATCTTAACGTGACTCTGTAATTTGTCTGAAATAAAACAATTTAAATATATTATATTTAACCAAATCCTAAAACATTTTTGCATTTATTACATACCCAACTTTGCACCTCCTTCTGATAAAAAATTAAAATTAAAACCAAAACTTTAAACCACATTTTAATGAAAGGTATGTAGAGGCAAACAAACAAGTAATAAAAAATAATTATTGTATGCAAGTAATATAAGAATTCGCTGCAATTATACAGAAGAGGAGGGCAATCGCTATGAATTGAAACATATTACTTTTATAAATTCCGATACATATAAATAAAACTGATATGCCTGTTTATAATATTAAAATAGCTGTTTTTAATATGTGCATACGAATACAAATAGGGTTCATAAACCAATTAATGAACGAAATTTTGCTTCTTTGTTCTTTTTTTGTTTTTTTTTTGCATTTCATCTTATCTTAATTTAATATATTTTAATGATCTCATATATATATATATATATATATATATATATACATAGATATATACATATATATTTACTTATTCTTATTTCACACATCTTATATTTAAATTAATTCAAACTATTACAATAAATGACGATCAGGAACACCTGATGTGGCGGCTATCTTAGGTATATATTTATCTTGAAAAAAAATCACCCAGTTTTCCCATTTTGTTATATTTTATGTAAAAGTACCTATTCATATTAAACATAGATAAAATCTGTTAATGTGTCATTGATGACTTCTGCTCATGGAACCGTAAAATTGATCAGGTGCAATAAGTAGTTTCTGTGCATAATCAGCATTTAAATTTAATAGTCATGATTTTTAAAACTGTGGAATATCTTGCTTTTATATAATCAAACTTTTTGCTTGGTGTAGATTGAAGAAAATAAATAGAATTTCACATATTTTTAATGTTTCTATATCAATGCCAAATCATAACTAATGTCTTCACACAATTCACAAGTAGGCTAGTATACTTAGTTCCACTAGAATTGAAATACGAGATGATGTTTTTTACAAACAAATTTTTTTTATCATTTAAAATAAGCGATTATACATATATATATATATATATATATATATATATTTATATATATACATATATTATTTTAATTTATTTTATATTAAGTATATTAATTTTGATGTGAAATTTGTGAGCCGAAGTTCTTCAGAAAAATATATCAAATGAAAATGGAAAATTTTATTTAATCTTCATTATGATCATAAGTTTCGACATATTATTTTATTTTGAAATATTATCATGTTAATATGACAACAAATTGAAAAAAAATCAAAATACAAAATAACTAACTAAATCAATGGTATGTATAAAACTGATTAAAATCAATATGAAAACATGTAACATTGTGACAAGACTTACAAAGTTACTCAAAATGAATGTATATATTATTAAGAATGACAATCTTCTTCATTAAATATTTTTATCATTGAATGAATGCTGAAAATCATTTCATCGTCTGAAAATTCTCATAATTTATATATATATATATATATATATATATATATATATATATATATATATATATTTATATATATATATTATGATGTGTTTGCGTACTCAAAAAACTTTATAAATTAAAATGTTCTTGCTTTATTCCTTATTAAATCTTTGCATACAAATTTAACTTAATAATTGATGTATACGAAATCTAAAACATATTATTTTTTTGTCAAAAACTGTAACTGTAAGTTTGAGAAGCATCCGCCCATTTCAGTTTATAGAAGATAGAACTTAGATTGTTTCAAATATCCCGTAATTATATGAATTTTCTGATCAATATTTACTAGAATAAATATTCATATTTTCAATTTGTTCTAAAGTCTTTGCTTTTGTTTTTCTGACGAGTAAATCGTAAGATCAAAGCCAGTGTAAGTATCAGCTACTTTTTTTCCATAATGAGAAAATAATAACTGAAGCTTGTACCTGCCTGTAGGCAAAACATATGAGGGGAGGCTTCCTTCATCAACGTGTAATTCTGCATAATAATTACCCTAAAATATAAAGATTATGAATTTTTATATACCATATATCATCTGGCTTCCTCAAAAGTTATTGTTAAGTACATTAAATTATCTTATTCTTCCTGTGACATTAACTATACGCATTTTTTAATTTCGAATCATAAATTAAAATTAAAAAAAAAAATCAAAAAACACTTGCAAAGTTGTCACTTTATAAACACTTTTATAGCAGGTATCAAGTTATGGTATAATGGTTTAATTTCTACTAGATAAAAATGGAATAAATTATGTTTCTGCAAAATGTATCTGGGAATACTTGAATTTCGATCAATGAATAATTGTATTGAATTTTATGAACATGCCTAATATGTATTTGTGATAATACATTCGACAGGGTTGTTTAATATATAATATACTATTAATATTTAATAATGACAATTTCATATTATTTTTTCAACCAATAGTTTTGTTAATCTGCTAGTTCAAATTTTACAAAAATATTAATTTCATTTTTAACATTTTTTACTTACCTTTGGTATGGGACAAGTCATTGGAAGCTTATGTCCATCCACAAATAATAGATGTAAAATTTGTTGCTTCAGTTTTTTGAAAAAAGTATCTGCAAATCCAAACTGCTTACTTACAGCCGTTGGGTTGACCATAGTACAATAATCTATAGTCATACGAGGAAAAGTTTCTTTATATCTGTTACTTGCCTGTTGATAAAACTGGATTGTTATCTGTAAAAAATTAGATAGTAAATATATTTACTGTGCAATATTATCAAATTATTTTTTATTTCACTTTAAGATATTTTTGGTGGTTAATAAGAAATTTCATATAATACTATTTACAAATAATTTTCCTAAGAAATGGAATAATGCCATAAATAATTAAGTAAGCTGCAACGTTAGAGGATTGCAGAATGTAAAGTGTACTCAAAAATATTTTTAATATTTTAAAGAAAAATTATTTACGTTAAAATTGTCAACATCTCTTGATGATGTAACATTCAAAACCACTGCTGTGTAAGTTCGATTTGTTCTCTTTATTTTGTACACATAGTCATCTACAACATATCCCTTTTCAAGATAGACAAGTTCTGCAGATCTTAAAGTGACTCTGTAATTCGTCTGAAATAAATTTATTCAAATACTAACTAAATTGAAGTTTACTACAAAAACGACAAAAAAGTGGAGTTATTACATACCCAACATTGGACCTCCTTGTGACAAGTAACAA